GATTTTACAATAATAGTATATTATGCAACGATCATGTAATGATGGTTATTAAGACAAGAGCATTAACCGGGATACGAAACGAGCCGAAGGCGAGTTTTGTATGGGATATGCGAGTGTATTAATAACCATTACAAGAGAGTTGCATACGCTATTTTTTCTAAACCCGATAAATAATGAAAAACTATAAATATTATATTTGTATTGAACACATTTACAGTAATTAACTCATATTTTTTTAAAAAAACACAAAATTAATGGTATTATCATGGATATATGAAAACTATAAAGATTCTAATTAACAACAATTGAAAACTGATTAATTAAAAAGAAATAAAAATTAAAAGATTCCAAGACAAGTTCTTTCACGACGTTTCGATTGTTGGTATCTACAATCGTTTTCAGGTTTTTTCTATTTGATAAATTCAATGACAGCCCGAATTAGGTCTTCTATGACGCGAAAAAACTCTTTCTCCACCAATACTCCACATCCTGTAGCCACAAAACGCCTCCTTTTCTATTTTACAAAAACGTGTCAACACTAATCAGTTTTACGACGAATACTTATTAATAGTAACGAGCTTTTTACGAGCAGTAAAAGTCGAGCTTTTGTCGGTGGCCGTTTATTGATGTCGGCCTTGTTTATACTGCTGTCTTATTACACTTTGCTGCTCCCACATTTCTGAGTGGTGATAGTTTTATGGTTTATAGCTAGTTGTTATCCGATTTTGATCGAGTGTTATTGGAGAATTTGGTTTTATTGCTGACAGTGATGTTTTGCCAAATGAAATTCGAAGTGGGCAAGGCGACTGTAGATGTACTCACTGATAGTAGTTAACTGGAGACGATTGGTTTTACGTTTAATTTTTTTTTCATTCAAATTGAATTCGTACGAAGAATAGAGGAAACGGATATTTTTCAAATTCTCATATACAGGCCGTTTCTTTTATCATGTGGTAACATTGCTATATTCTTAAGCGTAACAGATGCGAAGACGAATGAATGGGAAAAAAGGTAACTGTCATCGGGAACAATACAATGGTCGAAGAAAATTTGCGGGGACTCTCGCCCTTCTCGAGTTATACGGGGAAAACCAAAAACGATGTTTTTCGTTTTTTTCGAATGGAATTGTTATTTCGAAGAATATCAAAAAGTGAAAAGTGATGTGTTGTTGTATTCGAGGTGTACTATGACGATGTAATAATAAGAATTCGATAAAACGTTTCGAGTCAACATGGCCACTAGCATTTTTTTTAATACGGACCTGTCTTTTTATTACATATATTGATGAAGCGATAAATTCACCATCCAAGGGTATATCACTTTAGATATTTTTATAGCGTTGCATTTGAAATAACCACCATCAGAAAAACAAATTATTTCATCATGAACTTTTGGGAAAAATGAAACCAATACGGAAAATCTAAGCTACATGGCAATCTATAATAAATGCTCGAATTGACGATCTCTTTGTTGAACGCACATAAGTTGTCGGTCCAGACATTTTCTGTAGCAATTTTCTAGCATAGTAGGTGTAATACTAATACATGCCTCTCTTATTTTTTGTTTCAGATGGTTGATATCTGTACTTGGCGTTAAAAAAACGTTATCCCTTATGTATCCCCAGACAAAAAATCTAAAGGAGTAAGATCTAGAGATCGAACTGGCCAGTTGATTGGTCCATTATTTTCAATCCATTTTCTTGGGAGAATTGCACCTGAATGTTCCCTTACTATTGCTGCATTATGGGGAGGAGCACCGTCCTGTTGAAAATATTGTATTTCATGGCGAGTATCTGGTGGCAAAGAAGCGTCCAAGGGATATTTGTTCCCACAATTCCCAACCAAACATTTATTCCGAATCTTTCTTGGAAATTGGTTATCCTATGAAATGTTCATTTATATTATTCCACCTACAATGGATTTTCTGTTAAACCAACCATTGCTGGTGAATTGTGATTCGTCCGTCCATATTATTTTTTTACAAATATTTCCAACCTCCTTATTTCACTTCGCAAATCGTACTCTCCTTCCGTAATCCCTTTCATTGAGGCGATGAACTGCGTATCCTGTAGCATTAATATTTGTTCTTTTTCAAAATAGTTTTGGTGGATTTTACAGAAATCCCCATTTCGTGGGCAATTTCTAGTAAAGAACAATCTTGATTAGCATAATTTTCTCAACTAGCCAATCCTAAATTGAAAAAATAATGTTTTCACTGTGTAAATTTTTATGTGGTAATATTTGCTTACCCATAACATTTATTTGATTACTCACACTTCCACCATTTTCTGGTTTTCTTCGGGTATAACTCATCATACATATTCCTTGCCAAATCAGGATTTCTATTTGATTTTGCATCATTCAATAGCATTTCAGTCCTTTCTTGATTTGAATACATCTTTCTTATGTTTTAAAACGTTTATAAAACGTCTGACAGTTCTCAACAGATATCAACAACGCATTAATTTTTCCTGCCCATAGAAATTAAGCAAAGCCTACGCGTTTAAGATGGTAAATGGATTGAAATGCTATTTGATCATACCAAATTATATAACAATCGAATTTTGACCAAAAACTGATATTTACTTCCAGTATTATGAATTATAAAAATTATACGAATTATAATTGACCAGGGAGAAATAAAGCCTTGAAAGAAGGATTACGGCAATACAAAAATTTCCAAAACGAAAATGTATGAATTTTCATTTTGTTGGGATACCCACCTGTCGAATTTATCAGGTTGTCTGAATTATATTTTGAAGAAATCGGAATAATTTACAAAAGAAGTAACAACATGACCGTAATTTAAAATTGTTGTCACTGATGATGGTAGTTATTTCAAACGAAACGCTATGAAAGTATTAAATGTGATATACTCTTGGATTGCGAATTTAATGCTTTATCAACATCAATAATAAAAAAGACTGGTCTGTATTTAAAAAAAAAGTGGATGGTGGCCATGTTGACACGAAACATTTTATAGGATATTTATTATTACATCGTCATAGTACACTTTGAATTCAATAACATTTTTTTTCCATTTTTTGATAGTCTCCGAAATAACAATTCCATTCAAAAAAAAACAAAAATAGCATTTGTTGTTTTCCCGTATAACTCGAGAAGGACGAGAATTCCCGTAAATTTTCTTCGGCCATTGTATTGTTCCCCATGACAGTTACCTTTTTTCTCTTTTAATCATCTTCGTATTTTTACGGTTTAGAATATAACAGTGTTACCACATGATGAAAGAAATGGCCTGTATAGGAGTAGTTTTCTACTGTACTCGACTTTTTCAGTTGACGAGATAAACCGTCTAGTTGCTTTGGAGAAATTTTCAAAGTAGAAAAACTATTTTTGCCTATTCTGTCTATCTGCCCGTCTATCTACCTGTTTATCAGTTCGAAGGTTATGATTATGATTGATTACGATTCAATCGATGAATATTTATAAGGACTAAATTCTTAGTGGTATTGTATATTTCTGGCTGTAGAAACATAAATTAATGAAAAATGTAGTGAACCTAAGTTTGGACTATATACATAATACTTTCAACATGATACGAATTTATTATATAACGGGTTTTTCATTAAGCGCTTCCTATCTTTGAATTTAAATAAAACAAAGCGAAATTCGTTTGAAAAACCTATTGGTGCCATTATGTGTGGAATATAACATCGTTCAAATGTTATCCACCGCTTCTATGTGTGAAGAGCATCCGAAACGTCCAATTTTCCATGACTCAGGCGCTTATGACCGATGAAATGGTTTATGTTGACTTTGAGGACTGCTGTGGTTTGTGGCTTATTCGTATATACCTGCGACTTGAGAAAACCCCACAAAAATCGGTGGCCATTTCACATCACCTCCACGTGAGATAATCTTGCCTTCAAATCGCTCACGCAGAATATCCAATGTGGCATGAACTGTGTGGCATGTAGCACCGTCATGTTGAAACCACATGCCGCTCTTGGATGTTATGTGGATAGTTATCGTGCCCAAATCGACAATTTTGTTTGTTCACGTACCAACATCCAGGAATGTCCTCATCGCTGAAGATTATTCTTCGATAAAAACTAGATAGATGAGACTAACACGTACGGTAAAGTTACCGCAGAACGGAAGAGTCTCAACGAAAAACAACTGCTGGAGGAGCTGTACAAGGTTATCATCTCCGCCTCCGGTAGCAACAGCACACCGTCCACGTTCAAGTCGTGGACACACTCCGGTGAAATCATCAGAGCGGTCTGCGATGACGACGTGATGCTAGAGTGGTTGGGGAAAGCCACAGTGAACATTAAGCCGTCAGTGAGGACAAGCTCCCAAAGCTCACCAAAGCCTCGCTCTGGATCCCGGAGGATGCCCACAAGACGACATCTAGTGAAAAGGAGAGGGTTCTGGGTCGGCTGAAGGCGCAAAACCCTGACCTGATGGTAGCAAGATGGTGCACTTTCCACCATGAGGTGAAAGTGAACCCTCAGGGGCACCCAATCGTCTTCGGGGTCGGAGACAATGATATGGCTGTCCTCAAGAAGAAATCGATGAGGATAAACTACGCGTTTACCTCATTGACCATAAGGACTAAACCGAAAGAATCAGAGGGTACGTCTGGAGACCTTAGGACCTTGATATATATAGGACAGTGGATATTGACCCTAAGGCCACCATCGGTCGAAAAAATGAAATCAAAGCATCTGAACAGATTACAGTCGATGATCTGGCGGCGGAGGCACCTAAATACAGCGAGGCCGCCTCCCTCTCAGCAGGGGCGCATACGGCCCTCTGAAAGCAACCTCGAATCCAACAGCTGCAACCTCCAACACAAAAAGGCGGCAACACTATGTCGCCACCTTGATGTATTGGGGAATGCAATAACTTTGATCCAGGAGCCCTGGATAATAAAGACCAAAATTACTGGTTTCAGTAGCCTAACTGGTCAGCTTACCAAGCAATCAGCAACCTAGGACTGCTGTTTACGTTCCTAGGAATCACAGAGCCTTACCGATGGCACAATTCTGCACCTCAGACATCACTGCGCTTAAAGGTCCAGACGTCCCTTCGGATGCAGCCACCCTACCACCGACCATAGAAATGGAGATACTAGTGGATCACTGCCTCAACCAGAGAGTGGAACTTATATTGGGTTGCGACTCAAACTCTCACCACTTGAGCTGGGGCAGTAAGGATATGAGGTAAGTCCATATATGAATTTATAATTAAAAAAGATCTAACAATCTTGAACAGAGACATTTATTAACGCCCGTAGCCAAATATTAATAGATATCACGCTGACGACAACCAAAATATCAAAAAAATTCAGGACTGGCAAGTGTCGGACCATATTCCTTTGACAGACCACCGCTGGTTGACCTATACGGTAAGCCAGAATCTCAGGACCACTCTAAAATCCCGTGACTCGAAGAGGACGGTGTACCTCTCTACAATCGACTCTTAAAAGGAGCTCTGCGGAAAACTTCTGGCAATAATGAAGAACTGAAAAGGTACACGGTATCTATCCAGAACAGAATAGACATTGCCTACAAGGAAACCTATCCGATGAGGATGGTTCAAACAGATGGCGCAACCAAAACATGGTGGTGCTCCGAACTGGAACACCTCAGGAAGAGAGCAAGAACGACCTTTAACAAGGCAAAACGTACAATATTCGAAGAGGACTGGGATATATATCAAGCCAACCTCAAAGAGGTCAAGAAAGTCTGCAGACAAAAATTTAAAAAACCTGGAGAGCCTATTGTGAGGCAGTCAAATACTTTCCACTGGCTTCTACGCTATAGAAGGCACTCTCAAACGACCACCATAAGAGTATCGGCCTCCTGACGGAGGCGACAAAGTCGCCAACCTCCAAGACAGTGCTGAGATTCTTATGGAAACTCACTTATCAGGTTTTGTCTTTCCTGGAACGACGAACTGCGCGGAAGTACAAACAATGCCCTCACAATACGACTGGCAATCTGCTAGTACAGCAATGAATGAGGATAAGATAAGATGGGCCATATAGGGTTTTCCCCCTTCAAGTCACCAGTTCCTGACGGTATAAGACCAGCCCTACTTCAATGGGGATTGGATAGTCTTATGCCGTACTTGGTTGGAATATTCAGAGCCTGTCTAGCTCTGAGGTATATTCTCAGTAAGTGGAAAGAAGTACGAGTGGTATTTATACCCAACTCAGATAGGATGGACACATTACCAAAATCATTCCGACCAATTAGTCTCACATCGTTCTTTTTGGAACTATGGAGAGGCAATGTGAGCGGTACATAAGAGATGAAGTACTAGTTCACAATCCACTTCATCCAAATCAGAATGTATATACTCCGGAAAAGTCCATTGATTCGGCCCTTCACCATGTAGTTGGCAGAACCGAAAGATCATTGGACAACAAAGAATCCACCCTGGATTTATATCGAGGGAGTGTTTGATAAAACAACCTTCCCAACAATTATCCAGGAATGTACCTTTGGTACAATAATACTGGTATATTAATATTGGTACAATGTAGAAGACATCACAGTGAGGGATGTTCACAGAGAAGGGTCTTATCACCCCTTCTTTGAAACATAGTTCTGGATACCTTAATCAATCACCTCAACAATAATGGATTCTACACAATTGGATATGCAGATGACATAGTTATCATGCAGACAGGCAAATTTGTGAACACACTGTGCGATAGAGCGCAGGATGGGCTCAAATTGATAGAAACATGGTGTAAGGAACAGTCTCTGTCGATCAATCCTAAGAAGGGCTGAGCCTATGGCAAGAAGCGCTTACTGCGCAACCGCTGCTGCAGGCAACCAGGGATGCAATTGAATCAAGGTTTATGTTTAATGAACCCTATAAAATACAAATAAAATATAACACAGAGAAAGATGCTACAAATGAAATACGCATATATACAGACAGCTCGAAAACCAAAGAAGTCTCAGGAGGTGGAGTGTACTCCAGATCACTAAGCCTAAGAATTAAGTGAGGAATGAGAAAAAATACCAGCGTGGTTCAAACAGAACTAGATGGTATCTCAATCGCCACAAAAGAATTAATCAGGAAAGGAATTTCTGAGCAGACGTGCTACCTCAGGGCTAGTACTAAAGTGCCACCAAGATTTAGCCAAAGCCTCGATAGATAATATTATTAACCTGAGGTGGATTAAAAGGCACGACAGGAGTAAAGGTGATCACATTGCCTAATCTTCAGTCAAGGAAGCGGCTGGACTAAGAATTTTTGGGTCCAGTGGTACCTGCGGCCTGATGACTTCGAGAATTGCGGAACTAGCCAAACATCACACTCATGTTCAATCCCTAAAGAGATGGGATGGAATCAAAGGATGCAATATTGCCAGGATCACCCTGGGCGACCTTGGGAAGCGGACGTCGAAGAAATATCTGGCGATGATCAGGAAAAACCTACGCTTAACAGTAGGATTTCTGACTGACCACTGTCAACTAAGGAAATACCTCGACAATATGGTGCTAGTGGACACACCTCTATGTAGGATGTGTGAATAGGAAGATGAAACTGTCAGACATGTCCTATGCGAATGTCCGGACTTATCGTCAATAAGAGAGTGTGTGTTCGGCGAGTCTTGGCCTACACTTGCCAATGCAAAGGAGATGTCTCCCAGGGACCTGTCCACCTTTCTGGAAAGAACAGGATGGACGGTGACCTAGGAGGACAACTCCTTGGGAGGATGTACAATTGGTCACATGTGGCCAAAATGCTATGGGCCTACACTCACCCTCCCTAGTCTACAGATACAGAAGTATGTTGAACGGTTTTATTGAAAAAAAAGGTTATAATGATGTAGATTATGTACTAAAAACTAAAGAGTAATTCGGAAGGTTCTAGGTAGCAGTCATCACACCACTCCCTACAGCAATCTATGGTATTGATCAGATAAAAACAATTAAATCATTGGGCGTAGCGTAACTTAAGTAAATATGTAAATACAATTTAGTTGAACATAAAATTCATATTTTAGGTTATTTCATAAACAAATTTGAAGTTCCAAGAAGACCAAGAGTAAGCCGTTAGATTTTTCTGCAGCGAATGCAAGATAGAAGAAAGAATTTTTGACGGAGAGTGTTATGTGTTTCTCCAACTTGAAATGAATTTTAATGAAGGTAAAAATTGCATTCATCTGTAAACATATTATTTTCGCATTCTCAAGCTATTCAAGACAAGAATAATATTCTCGGTTCAAATGTGTGAATAACTCAACTCCCACCTTCCATACAAATTTTAGGCCATTTACAAATGGATCATCTTGTTTTTCGAAATCTCCTTTCATCTCATCACCTACATATATCTTGTGAGAATACATATACACGTCTATCAACTTATCATTAACGAATTCAAATCAAGGCTGTAATTTTGTCCCACGCTTTAGAATTTGTTTCCGTAAGTGGATTCTGAGAATATCTCAAGTGGTAAGCTAAATATATAATATTAACTCGAATGAAATATGCCATCTCACGCACATTACAGATAAGAAAAAATTATTACCGCTTTTTCAACCGTTTTATTGGTACAAGATATACAAGGTACATATTCAAAAAATAATTTTTTGAAGGGATCGATGTTTGTTATTTTTTTAGATTTTGAGCTTTCACATTGTGACAAAAATTGATTAAGCGATCAATTGAGATTCTATATCAGAAAAACCAAATCTGTTATTTTCAAAAATGTCTGTAGTTTTTATCTATTTTTAATTTTCTGTAATACATTTTCAGATCAGAGTCCCATGCTAGACCTGCCTACCTATACATACGTCTTCTACAAAAAACAAATAATTTCTGAAATGTTATATTCCGACTGACTGAAAATCAATCGATGGATGAAGATCTTAAAAAGGTGCGAAGGGTGAAGACAAAGGGAAATAGAGGAAAAGTTGTGTATTGTAGAGCCCACTAAGACGATATTATGAATTATTTTTCGTAATTCCAGAGTTATATAGGTAAAAAAGAAAAATTCCATTTCGTCTTTTTACTAATATCTTTTTTGATTGAATACATCTACGAAAAACTTTTTGCACTGTGTCCTTATGCTGAAGAAAATATATAACACAGTGTAGAATTCTTTGGATCACCCACCGACTTTGTCTTTTTTAATACGTACTTGTATTATTTACCACATTTATTATTTTTTTCTAGGTTTATTTTTTACCAAAATGATGAATATTAATCTCCAAAAGTGTGAAATATTTACTTTTAGGTGTGCAAATCATAATTGAAAGGATTATATTTTTAGGAGTCATTAATTTTTGGGTAAGAAAGTTTTTGGCTCCATATTGATACAAAAGAAAGAGTGGGAATCTTCCAAAGAAAGGACGTGAAAGGAGATTTCGAAAAACAAGGTGATCCGTTCGTGAATGGCCTAAAATTTGAAAGGAAGATGGGAGTTGAGTTATTCACACATTTGAACCGAGAATATTATTCTTGTCTTCCTTCCTTTCTTTGGAAGATTCCCACTTTTTCTATCAGTAGAAAGCCAAAAACTTCCATAATACTTATTAGAATAAGCATACTTTTTTTTCCTGTCTCTTTGATGGCATTCATCGTCCTGTAAACTTTTAGTAACTGAGCCATGGTGATTTCTAGAAAAATCGTAGCCTCACTGATTTATCGTTTTTTCCACAGAGTGAAACTACTATTATCAAACTCAGAAGAATGCTATATGATCATCATCAAATCAAATAGAGCCTATTATTTTGGAGCAGGTAATATATTTTCATTATTCTATGAAAATTATTGAATATTTTTCCCAAAAGCAATGATCCTTCTGAATCATTGATGACGTTCATCGTCCTGTAAACTTTTAGTAACTGAGCCATGGTGATTTCTAGATAAATCGTAACCTCACTGATTTATCGTTTTTTTCACAGACTGAAAATACTATTATCAAACTCAGAAGAATGCGATATGATCATCATCAAATCAAATAGAGCCTATTATTTTGGAGCAGCTAATATATTTTCATTATTCTATGAAAATTATTGAATATTTTTCACAAAAGAAATGATCCTTCTGAATCATCGCGTAAAATGGGCATTGTTATCTCAATTTTATAGTATCTAAATGCCCGTACCTTAATTACAATTTGAACGAGAGTTCAACAAAGAACAAATTAGAAATCAGTGACTTCAAATGTTTTTCAATTGGAAAACGGACAGAAACCGAAAAATCCCTAGTAAATTACAGATTTAGAAATGCACCAAAAATTATGAAATTAAATCTGTCTGTGCAATTTCAGCTGGAAAAATTAAAAATCTAAAATCAAATGAACCAATTTACCTTACGTCATTATTTCCATTACGTTTTAAACATATTTTAGATATGGAAAAACTCTCGGTCAATTTTAGATTGAAAGGCGACATTTTGTTTTCTTACGTGCAGTACCGTGTGTTCAGTCATCGAACAGTGGAAGGAACAACCCCAAAAATTCGACTAGGGAATAGTGTACGAGTGTTCATCGTTTAAGAGCCCATACCATTTTTAAAACAATCGTGTACACCTTTTCCTCTTGGGATGAATCAAGTGTGAAGTTGAAATGACTTGAATTATTCTCATCTCAATAATTCGCTATTCATTGTCGTGAATATTCCAAAGGCGTTAAATCACACGATCTAGGCGGCCAATTGACGAGCCCCAAACGTGAGATAAACTGTTCACTGAAGGCGGCTCTTAATTGGGCCATTGTTTCGCGTGCCGTGTGGCATGTCCAATTCTTCCGTTTTG